GTTAATTAAGTCACTACAATACACACAATAAGCTTTGCCTGCTACGTCAAAGCTTATTGTCCAAGAGCTTCTGTAACTTCGTCGAACTTGGAACCAATTTTAACCTTTACAGTGACTTTTCTGTCAAGCCAGTCCAATCGGAATTTATTCTTGACATTTGAGTCAATTTCTAGGATTAAAGACTCCTGATCTTTCGTCAAAAATTTCATAATTCCGCTCAAAACGATCCCAGAACAATGAATTTGCGAGACGAACAGGCCGCCATGAATCAGGTAAAGCAATATGTTACATGCAATTTGATTGGTCCAATCGCTTGTAGTTAACCAATCGCTGGGCTGTTTATAATCGAGCTAAGACTTCCGCAACAAATAATGCCTTCAGTGATCTGATTAGTTGAAGCTTTCATACACGTCCAATCGCAGGGCTGTTTACAAACGGAAAACGGAGAGACTGTTCGGGAGAGCTCGTGAAAACTCGACGATAAGGTACCTGACCGCCCCTAAAATTTTCTCAACGGATTTAGACGATTCACAAAAATGATCAATTTAAGAAATAAAACGGCGGATTTCCGCGGATCCGCGGAAAATTGCCATGTATGCTACGGTTGACATTAAGTCTAGCTTGCAGACTTTACGTGCAACATATTTGCAGCTATAACAAAGCCCTTTACAGATATTTATATAGATTTAAATATTGCTGCCAGATCTTAAACTCCCATGCTCTTTTCCTTTCGTAAAGGGTGGTCGGGAGTAGTAACCTTTGCTTGATGTGACTTAAAAGGTTGCATCCATACACCTTTCCTATGCATTTGTAAAATGTGACCGAACTAACCTCCAAGTACTTGTGGTCATCATGTTCAGATAGGAGAGGAAAGTTCCTCTGCAAAAATGAGAACCCGAAGGCCTTTCACATCCAAACGACAAGCATTAAGATTATAGAAGGGTGCTCACACTGCTCTGTGCTGCCATCTGCAGGTAGTGCACAGACTTGCTGCCATCTTTCACTGGCTTCCGGGAGTACACAGACGCAAGGCATAATTGCGCCTGCAGACGAAGGATGTAGGTAATAACATATGGAGACAATATCAATTGTTATAACAGATGAGAAAAAAAATTAAAAACAAGACGTGATGATGATTCCCACCTTTGTCAGACCTGCTGCAGCAGCCTTCTCCAGGAGCCTGATGGCTGTGTTTAACTTTTCTTCATTCTCGCACCCGCTCCTGGTCAGGAGCAGCTTTGCACAGCGGTATTGAGCCTGTTTGTGACCCTCCACAGCTGCCCGCCAATAGTAATGGGATGCCTTCATGTAGTAAAAAGAGAAATAGGAGAATCGGAGAACCAGTAAATGACAACATATAAAAACCAACATCTACGTTTTTTTTTTTCCTTCAATGTCTCTAAAACAGTGACTCTCAAACTTTTCACACAAAACACCACTTTAAAAAGTTCTTAAAAATCAAATGCAATGGTACTGATCTTAAAAGTTAATTACAATTGAACTGTACTCAGGCAGCTATTCGGCCCTGGGATTGGGTAGTGACTCGACCAATATATACACCGTCTCTCGTCCAAAGTGAGTTGGGCCAGGCTACAGCTCATCCGCCACCCTAATACGGACAGGCGATATAAAAAAATGCATTGATGTACCTTCTCCTTGTCCTTGTGGACTCCTCTGCCCTTCTCATAACAGACCCCAGTGTTAAACAGAGCCTTGCTGTAGCCCTGTTGAGCTGCCGCCAGGAAGCATGTGAAAGCTTCCTCGTCATTTCCATTTTTGGCTCTTTGAATGCCTGTAGCGAAAAGAAAAACGGGAATCTAGGTGATAACATCAAACACAACTTACACAACAAACACACTCACTTTTCGCGGGTGATAGATAACAAGCTCCCACCTCAATAGGTGAAATTATGTGATATATGTTGCAGCTTTGAAACAAGGAGAGCTGTAGTGTTGGCTTTTTGAAAACATACACTTTATTGTTTTTAACGCTCTTAAAGTAAAGATAAAGATATCCTTTTTTTGTCCCACACTGGGGAAATTCGACTCAAGAGGCGTTCAAAGACCACCTCCGAAAAGGTAAATTAACAATAACTTCAACGACACTAAGAAAATCGAAAATAATACACCAAAACAGAAAATCTAGTGGAGAAATCACAAAATATAATCTTCGGAGGGTGTTTGTGAACACAAAACAAAGGAATAAATAAGAGACAATTCTGAAATAGTCCAGTCTCCTCCACATCGAGGTTGATTTATAATTTTTTTTAAATTCTACTTGTGGGGGGGTGATACAACCCCCTCCAACAATTGGCACACTCAATAAATTATATCTTGCTTTTAAAATGCAAGATGTAGAATACCGAGCTGATGATTATCGGCTGCGTTCATATATTAATGTGAGCATGGGGAGCCTTAAAACGCGATGCAGGCTGGCACAGTTCATATTGCCTGGAGTGAACCTTAAATTGCAATCTAATTGTTAGAATAGAAAAATACAATGTTGTCATGTTTTAAAGTTTCATCTTGTTCCATGCTTGATTGACCTCGAAATGCTTGTGTTCAGAACATCTTGCACACAATGGAAGCATAGAGTCAGAGAGATCAAGGGACCCGAGCAGATGGTACCTCAGAGAGAAAGATTTAACCTTCACTAGTAGACACACTGGTGCCTGTTATCTGACAACTTGGAAAGGAAGATTTAACCTTGGACGGAAGGGAGTATTCGAACACTCCATCATGAGAAAGGGTCACGAGCCAGATTACAGACACCACTCGTTAAAATGTACACGTGTTTTGTTAGTTTTTGGATGTTGGTGCTGGTACCAAGAGAATGCTTTGTCTGAGAGGCGACCCAATGGGGCTGTCCAGAGGTGTGTCATGTTAATAAAGATGGGAGTGTTTTTCTGATGTATTACTTGTAATTTGCATACACAATCAATAAAAAGGGCCGGCAGAGGTTGCAGAGGTCGGGTGACAGTGGGAAGCGCACACTGAGTGGCTTCATGGAGAACTGCACCTCCTGCCGGCAGCGAAAGTCCATCTGTTCCTGTGTTCGGGCCTTTGTCAACTGTCCGAGTGAAAATCTCTGACACTAATTCATCAGCAAATACACTATCATCATCATGTGTATGTAGTGAGTGGTTACCTGCTTTTTCCAAGCCACGCACATGCATATTCTGTAAATTTATTGCCGACCTTGTTAATGTTCACAGCTGTCACTACATTCCTTCAAAAAAACAAACAAAAACATTTTCTACATCCTTTTGGATTGATATTCTGTTTTTTCTTCAATAAAATGCTTAATTTCGTTATCAAGATATCTGGCAAAAATATCGAGATACTACATTTTGGTCACATCACACAACTCACATTAAATGATGAATGTAGCTGTTTACTTTCCTCGTACAATACTGCCTGCACTGGACTGCCTATTTGGGGCAGTCTGATTAACTGAAGGGCACATTTGATCAACTTTCTGGGTTTCCAAACGGTCTGAGTGAAGCAGCACGCTCGGAGCGTATTTTAGAAAGCATCGGCGATGCGTTAACAGGGATTTGGGATGCGACTGGCTGTCCAATGTTCGTGGTGTGTCTGTTTTTTTTTGTTGTTTTTTTTTTAAATTAATCAACATTTTTCGACTGGTCTGACTCAGAAGGAAGAAAAATTGCACAACCCGCAAAATAGCAAGGTAAAACTGCAATAGATTAAATTGTGATCAGAAATGAAAATCTGCGATTCAGGGAATGTGCAATAACCAAAACTTGAACTAGTGAGGTAATGCTGTAGACATATTAAGTGTGAAAGAAAACGGGCTCAGTGAGTAGCAAGTAATTAAATAGTGATGTAATAGATATATACCAATAATGTTGAGGATTATTGGGACGCTGCTGTCTGCCACTTTTTCAAGGTTCCGTGCAGCTTCTGCCAGTCTCTCTTCACCTTCAAACATAGACTGAAAGCCAAAGTATCACATTTGGTCTCACACACACACAAACAGCCAAGTAAAAATAAACATGAGCTCATATGGTGAACCTTGTTATGAGCATGATCCATCTCTGTGCTCTCTTCCTCCAAAACGTTCTCTTGCGGGCAGGAGGCAGACATAAATGCATCACCTGTGGCAGACAAAAAAGGAGAGGACATATGATGTGATTCCACTTAGTAAAGCATCACATCCATCACTTCAGAAAACAAAAAAGAAACAGCATGAATGTTAAAATTGCTTTGCCTAAGAGACAGCCATTGTCAACAGTTTCGATTGGCAAATAAATCTAATGAATGAATAAACGAATAAAAAAATATTTAAATAGCTCACGTCAAAACAAAGCAGCAGTATAGATTTGTGAAAAGCTATGAAATTGACCAAAGTTAGCATAGGTGGCTGAGGCCTAACGCCAGCAATATGTACTCTTTGTATGCAGTGCAGCAAACTGTGAAGGACAGGGTAAATCTGTAACTCATGCACCCCGCCAAAAAGTTTAGAAGTGCTTCAAAAATGGCAGCAAAGTATGACATGACGTTACTCATCTGAATTCAAAATAATTCCTTGGCACCAAGGTGTCACAAGATGGCTTTTTCTCCAAAGCAATAACCTGATCTCTTATGTTAAACAATTTGTGAGTTTGGACATAGCGTGGAGAGATGAGCTCTTGAGAAAATGACTGCTGATTGATTACATACATACATACATACATACATACATACACATATATACATATACATATATACATATATATATAGGCAAATTTGCGCGTAGTGAATTGCACATATGCAGGGAACACTGCCTGCAGTCTTTCTGTGGAGTATTGAACATACCTTGTAAAGGCGAATCATGGCCCGGTTGCAGCTCATGATCTGAGCCGGTGGCATGAGCAGTCAGGCGGTTCTGCTCACTGCTGTTTGACGCGGCACTACTTCCACGACTGCTACTAATGGTCTGACCCAAGGACTGATTGTGCAGACACGACACGCTCGTTCCTCTTCGGACCACATCATTCCTTGAAACTGAGGAACACCATCCAAAAAAAACAAAAACAGATGGTGTCATGAGTTTGATAATTCAGGAGGGTCAATTCTACTTGCAGAGATGTAATGCTCACAAATGTCCAGCAGGAGGCGGTAACCACACTTCTGCAAAGTGGGCGGTGACTTTTGGACTGAAGAAGTTGGACTGGGCTCAGAACATGAAGAGAAACTGGAGTGGATCCTCCTGCAGATCTGCATAAACAGCACCGCTGTGGCACCCTTTGGATGAACAGTGGTCACTCTCATCAGTGATGAAGGATTGTTAGACGTGCTTCAAATGATCAATTAATACTAACGAGCTGTGCATCATTCAGACAGGATATATGCAGGTGGCCCTTGGCCTATGTAACTTCGTGACACATTCATATACCTGACTTCACTAAGACCCAGAAAACAATGTTGGGTCCAAAGAGATGCACTAACACTACAAAAGACCATATTAACTAGATTGAAATCTTATCTACACTAAATATTGCATATTGACAAAACTGCTCTTCATGAATATCATTATGTAATTTTATTGCTATAAGATCTTAGCATGAGGTTGTCCTGCAAATGAATATTGGAAATATGATCAAGCAAGTGAAAACAGTTTTACTGTCAGGACTGCGGATAGTCAAACTGACTGAATCATAAAGTAAATTCTATCTTATGGTTTTGCGCAGTCTGGAACGCAGCGTTTTGTTTTACATTTGTATTTAAACACTGTCAGTGAAAAGTACTACTCAGTGGCACTGTAGGGGATGACTACAAAGGCACACTATACTGTATCGACAAAAACTTTAGGAGAATAGCAGAAAAATGCCCTATCAGGTCATTTCTGATCACTTACCTCCACTCATCCTCTCAGAGTAAAAGAAAAAAAATCAATAGACTAAGTTTCAGGCTCATTAACATTTTAAAATGACAAGAAAGCATGCCGAAATGGGTTGGCCTTATTAAAAAAAAAAAAAAATATATATATATATAT